TGTACGAGCCCCCAATAAAATGATTTAAAAAAACAAAAACAAATAAATATACAAGTTCAAAACAAAAAAAAAGGGAGAAAGTATTAAATCTCAGCATTACAGACTATCGCTCAGGAATAGACTTGTTGGGCAGCTTGAGTGGTTATGAAAATTAGATGTTATTTGTTCATTTCCCCAAAACTGTGGACTTTCAAGATTACTCAGTAATAAATGAACTTTTGTCTTTTCAAAAAAAATAATTCATACTGGAAAATGTACTAAAAATCAGACATATATTGTCTAGACCCCATATCATCGCTAAAGCCTAAAACCAGTACTATAATATATGACAGACATTCTGTAAAAATGAGATGCTGAACTGTTTGGTAGTATGGTGTTTGGAGCAATGGTGCCAACAGGGTGTTTTTTGGTTGCTAGTCCATATTTGCTACAAGATTGGTACACGGTTGCTAGTCCATGTCTCTTTGGGTTAATCCCCGAAGGCAAGGTGGTATCATAATTGATTGCTGTATCTATATCAAAATATATGAGATGCCCAGAAAAGAAGCCTTGATCAGTCTGGGGAGTCATTAGCAAGTGTGGCTTTGGTACTCAACTTGTATGAGAGAAGTTGGTTCCAGAAATTGAGGAGGCTCAAACATGTCCATGTTAGCAGCTGTGGCATATTAAGCCATCTACAGATTTTGTCATCCAAGTGGCGGGTTCCTCTAGAGACTCTACTCTTATTCTCATCTCAGGCAGGCACACCACTGTCCCTACCCTTTCAGGGCATAAACTCTTTCAAACATGACTTCTTGTTTTTGCATAGTTTTCAGCAAAGACTTACGATAACCATAATCAAAGGAAAGACCTAATAAAATATTATGTGTATGTGCACTCACGTTCATGTATGTGTCTGAAAGTATGACAGTAGAAGTCTTTATTCAAGTGAAATTTTAAATGTCACAGCAATAAATAAGGTAGAGAAAAGCAGAACGCGAGCCCAAATAGCCTCTTAGGTACTTTGACTGAGTATAGGAAACCACTGGTCCAGATGACTACACCCTTGGGTTCTTGGCCAGTTTGGGTGTTTATTTTCAGTTGTTGGACTAAGGATGTCACTTCTCTCATCCTGAAGCACACACTCCCATGCAAGCAGACTCCTCTGGCCTTGTGGTTCTTTGCTATGACTCAAGGGAAATAGGAAACCAGTTCTATACCCAACACTTCCTCTTCTCCACTTGGGAGATTGGGAGTTGAGGTTGTCAATATCTTTGTGAGGTTTCCTGTGGGAGAAGAGGTGGGAACTGTTTCTATCAGCTGAAAGCAGTTGTATTGGCTACAAAAGTCAAATCCTAAGACTTGTTGCTTGCTTTAAGGCTGTTACCTTGCCCACTGTGGGGCCTGGGGTGGGAGTGGTGGGGTCAACACCTTTGGAAAATGCTATAATACATTGTGTTAGACAGGGTTCTCTGGAGAAAAAAATATCCCAGGATGCTTATGATTATATATATATATAATATATATTGCAAATATATACTATTTGTAATATATATATACAATATATATAATATATATTATATATATATATATTACAAATGGCTTAGTTCAACTCACTTCTGTGAGACAG